GTGCGCTCTTCTGAATTGGGAATAGCCAACATGCATTATAAACTTATTTCAAATTAATCTGTTGGGGAGATAAAATGTGTAAGATAATGTTCACATATTAACAAAAACATCTAAGAATGTATCTTTTATTCTCCAGTACTGAAAACAGAACCGATAAGGGAGCTTTTGATATGCGCTGTGACGCAGCTCTTGGTAATTACCGTTTTTGTTCGTTGTCTGTAATTTCGAAGCTTAAGTTGCATAAGTTTTTCTTTAGTTTTAATTTGCCTAACTATCGATCTGACCCAGTAGACACCATAATCCCTCTCTGTCTCTCTCCCACTTTCTGTTTTTATTTATTTTATTTTTTTTAATGGTGGGTGCTTACACAGTTGGCTAGAGCAGTGCTGATTGGGGAGAACGGAGGTGCGCTCACTCTATTGGTTAGTAAGACTGCAACTCAAGGCTGGCAGGCATGCATATGCTCTGGAACAGATTAGGAAATCGCAACATCTCAAATCGCGATTTCGATTCGATTTCGATTAATCGCACAGCCCTACACCCAATCCCTGTTCCCTGCATCTCCCTCCTGCATAATCTGTTTTCTTTTTCTCCTTGTAGCTGGAAATCAGCTCACAGACAATTTGCGGCTATATAAAATAAATATATATATATATATATATTTTTTTTTTTATAATTACAGACTTGCTCGAGAACTCCAGTCTGACGCACACGGGTTCCCGCGTTATTTCCTTATCACTTCTCGAAACGTAGTTTGCGGACCAGACAGAGCTGTCGGCGATTCTTCCTATTGTGAAGTCATGCAGTGTGAAACCCCCTGTCGCCGATCCATCGTGCAATGTGAACACAGCAGCAACTGAATGCTACCCCAGATAGTCACCCAGTGCGAAAACAGGCAATTCGACGAGTTTGAAAATCGTGCAGGGTGAACTCGGCATAATACAGAAAACCCAGCTAATCGATTTTGTAAATGTAGTTTTGCACATCCCTAATAAGCATAACTGACGCAAAAGACTGTGTGGGAAATGTTTACACTGTGTGCACGGGCTCACCTCTCCCTCTTCCCCTGCGGCCACGGTCAGCACCTCTCTCAACCAGAGCAGGGTCCACACCATTCTCCTCCGTCCTCGCTATGAAAGTAAAAAAGTGAAAGTGACATGTGGCCAAGTATAGTGACCCATACTTGGAATTAGTGCTCTACATTTAACCATCCAAAGTGCACACACACAGCAGAGAACACACACACACCATGAACACACACCCGGAGCAGTGGGCAGCCATTTATGCTGCGGCGCCCGGGGAGCAGTTGGGGGTTCGGTGCCTTGCTTGAAGGGCAAATCAGTCGTGGTATTGAAGGTGGGAGAGAGCGCTGTACATTCACTCCCCCCACATACAATCCCTGCCGGTACGAGACTCGAACCCGCAACCCTTGGGTTATGACTCTCTAACCATTAGGCCACGACTTCCCCCTGAAAAGAAACGTAGTTTCTTTTCTATATAGATAATAAAATAAAATCCCACATAAATCTTTTACAATTTAAAACCTACTCACACACAATTAAACGGACCAAACTATTGTCTAAATATTGTTGCCGAACACAAACAAAACGGCTATGTAAACAAGGAAATCTCACCAACACACTCACATTGCCGGTTGCGACTGGTCCCTCTGCCACGACGGCTCGCTCCTCCACGACCCTTGCTGCTTTCTCGCTCTTTCTTCTCCCTGTTCTCCTTGTTTTCCTTACTCTCTGTGGAGGTGGCATCCTTTCCAAGACTTTTCTTTTTCCCCACTGTTTCCCAAGAGGTCTGCACGATGACCGAGAGATGAATTAGTGGTAGTCATGTAGTCAATGATCCCACATAAATCTTTTACAATTTAAAACCTACTCACACACAATTAAACGGACCAAACTATTGTCTAAATATTGTTGCCGAACACAAACAAAACGGCTATGTAAACAAGGAAATCTCACCAACACACTCACATTGCCGGTTGCGACTGGTCCCTCTGCCACGACGGCTCGCTCCTCCACGACCCTTGCTGCTTTCTCGCTCTTTCTTCTCCCTGTTCTCCTTGTTTTCCTTACTCTCTGTGGAGGTGGCATCCTTTCCAAGACTTTTCTTTTTCCCCACTGTTTCCCAAGAGGTCTGCACGATGACCGAGAGATGAATTAGTGGTAGTCATGTAGTCAATGAAAAAAAAAAAACTAAAAGAGGATAATCACACAACAGATGCCAATGCAGTGTCATTTTACATAACTGTTTTTTTTTTTTAAAGGTTGCTTATCATATTGTTGTTGAATCATTACTGCTGATGAAGGACATTTAGGAGCTTGTATTATGGCACAGAGGTGGAGGCAGAGGTCTGTTATGACACAGGATTACCTTCTGATCAACACTACAGAAGCGACCCACTTTCTATTTTAGAGTTTCATTCCCAGAAATCATTCAAACAAATCCTAGTCTATAAGCAGGGGCCTCTCAAATTTCTCCACAACAATCACAGATGTTTTATCTGAAGTAGATTAGCATCAATCACACATGAATCTGGACATTAAGCACTGTGGTATGTTCATCATTTAGCTAAAAAAGAAAAACACAACACATGCAGAAAAATAAAGAGCCCAGCTAGACAAATCATTGTTCTGCCTTTAAAGGCCTGCCACAAAACAGCTGACAGTAGCGACATTATTAGTAAAACCAGTTCCCATTTTTCAAAAAGTCATCATGAGTTTTACTGCCTACTAAGTAGTCTAGACCACATATGCATCTGATAGATAAGATTTTTACCGAATCAGAAGTTCCCTCAAGCAGGAAGTTGATGGCTCTGTTGACATCCTCGTTGCTGTCGTGAAGAGCAACCATACAATCGTCTTGGTTCTTCCCTGTAACCTCCATGAGCTGTGAGCAAATATGGACACCGCTAGGGTTAAGAGAGGAGTTAAAGGGGTCATATGATTTAAATTTTTCCTTTCGCTTTGAAGTGTTACAAGCTCTTGGTGCATAAAGAAGATCTGTAAAGTTGCAAAGACTAAAGTCTCAAATCCAAAGAGATATTCTTTATAAAAGTTCAGAGTTAGCCACGCCTACCTAAAACGGCTCGTCCCAACACGTCCCCATGTCTACGTCACGATGTGGGAAGATTTGCATAACGCCGCCCAAATGTTCACGCAAAGAAAGAAGGCGTAACTTTTATTCTCGCTTTAGTATTGTTGCTGCCGCCATGTCGTGAAGACGCTGTGTGTTTCGTTGTGAAAGCGAAACTACTTTGTTTGGTCTTCCAAAAGAGGATGATATCCGCTTCGTCATGCCTAGAGCTGATCCGTGCTGGTCGCTGAGGAAATACATCAACTTCGCACTGTGGATCGTCGGATCGGCTTTCACTGTGGACGAAGCGGAGTCCAGCCCGGGGTCGTCACATGTGTTTGCCGCAAGCCCGACGGCCGCTCCTTCATCGAATCCGCCGGCAGCCACTCACTCAAGCCCGCTGGCCTCCGTTCACTCAAGGCCGCCGTGTGTGACACTGTGTTTCGTTGTGAAAGCGAAACTACTTTGTTGGCCTTCCAAAAGAGGACACGACTAGAAATCAGTGGTTAAGTATTTACAACACTGTTCCAGAACAGTTCAACCCAAATATTCAGATGTGTGCAGCGCATTTTATGGAGGACTGTTTCCTGATCCTGGGAGAGTAGACTACAATGCCGGCTGTTCTGACTCACAGTCTGTATGTATGTTTTTTTATATTTAAAGAATTTGCCACTGACGATTCAAACACGAGTTTTGAGCAGTGTAGAGTAGCGCCTGTTGTTTGTCATTTCTCCGATCACAAATGCAGACATGGTTTTATGTTTACGCGGCGCGATGCAACGGGTAAAAAGACAGTATAAGTCATTATAATCCGCAATTATGCAGGGGCGTGGGAAGATGTTTTCGGTTGGGGGTGCTGTGTGTGTCCGTGTTGGGTGAAAGGGGGGCGGTCACCTCATTTGACAACTCCACAAAGCACTACAAGTGCATTGATATGAACACTCGTTTAAGTGGCATACACACTGGGAAATTTGACTGCATATCACATTTTTTAAATGATCGATAGTAGCTGATTAATCTCGGGGGTTGGGCTCGGTCCGCTAGGCTTACTTGTCTCCGTGCTCGTGCTGGAGCTGATTCACTTACGTCCGTGCTCGTGCTGGGGCTGGTGTTGGATGCCTATTTTGGAAAGTTTTTGCTGGGATGGGCATTTAAAAAAATCTGAAATTCACTTTTGCGCCATTATCTCTTTGTATTAAAGTTAATCTTGCTCGCATTCTGTATAGTTCATGTCTGATACCACGCGCCAGCGTCACGTGTTCATGAGGATTAGGCTAATCATCCCGAAAACATCACAGGTAAAATTAATCATGTTTATAAAGATAAACATGGGTTTGTTATAGCCCACTTACAATTTACATTTCAGAGATCATTACAAACACATTATTAAATGCTAAAACTGAATAAATTTAAATGAACAAACTTGCCGTTGCATTTGCAACCATGTGAAAACAGGGGGTGCTGCAGCCCCCTCAGCACCCCTACTTCCCGCGTCCCTGTAATTATGTCCCCACTGGATGCAACAAATGCCTCGTTTATAATGGGTTTTATTGGTTTTGTCTCGTCGCTCCGGCCGGACACGGCATCACAGTATGGTAACGGGCGTAACATTTCCGTCACACGCTTGAGGTATTCGGCCAATCACAATGCACTGGAAAGCTGGCCAATCACAGCACACCTCGCTTTTCAGACCGATGAGCTTTGTAAAAATCTAAGCGTTTCAGAAAGGCGGGGCATAGAGGAGAAACAATAATGTACAGTATGTGGAAAATAATGTTTTTTAAACCTTAAACAGCATAAACATTTCATTACACCAAATAATGTTATTTTTAGCAACATCATCCCTTTAAACATCCTTTTACTCTGAATGAAAGGAGCTTCTCATACCTGTTTCACTTTATCCTCAAAATCTGCATCGTTCTTGTCATAGATCATCTGGGCCAGTCGGATCTGTTCAGCTGTAGCCTGTAATTGGAAGCATAAGTTATGAACATCAGAATGAGTGAACAAGAATCAATATTAAAAATAAAGGGAAATTGATTGAGCAGCCAGATTCATGGCCAAGACATATTACCCACAAGCTGAAGCAGACATGGTCCACTGCAAATGTGTTTGGCTACAAGCCTACAGCACAGTATATACTGTATACAGCGTTCCACTTTGTTAAACATAAAAGTATGCATTATGCAACAATAAATGTCTTTAGATACTTTGTCACATGACCTCAGTACACTGCATGTTTTATTCAGCAAGTAGAATCCAGTTATTATCCAGTTATTAAAAATGTAGACATCTCATGTAGAAAAAAAATGTAGACTGTTACTGTAAAAATAAGGTAAATATCTTATTAATAAGCTTGTGAAAAATGTGTTAACTTTTGGTAGTGTAATCAAACAGTAATTTACTAATCAATTAGTGAAGACTAGTCCATCTAGATTTTCATACAAGCCTACATTTTATTTTATTTTTAATTAGAGCACCAGTCGGGATGGGCGATATGCATATGCTGTTCTGTGTCAGCTGCGTCACGCCGGATCGGTTTCCTACATTGTTGTGATTTAATCTGAATGAAAACAGCGTATCCGTGTGACGCTTGCTGACACAGAACAGCATACACCGTTTACGTCCAGCGGATACTCCCCAAAATGGCGCTACAGGGTGGAGACGAATTGTTGAATAGTAGTTTTTTTTTTTTGCGCACAAAAATTATTCTCGTAGCTTCGTAAAATTACAGTTGAACCCCTCATGTCACATGGATTATTTTACAGATCTCCTTGCTACGTTTCTGGACTTGAGAACATTTCAGTTGTATTACGGTGTATGCAGGGTCAGACAGCTCTCAGATTCCATCAAAAATATCTAAATTTGTGTTCCGAAGATGAACGAAGGTCTTCCGGGTTTGAAACGACATGAGGGTGAGTAATTAATGACAGAATTTTCATTTTTGGGTGAACCCTTTAAAAACAGTTCAACTTACAAGTGAGGCTTAACATTCCAGCAATATGCTCTAGCTGTTTTTCATGCAAAAGTGTCTCATGTAAACTCCCCCTAAAGAAACTGGAAGGTCAAGTCAAGCCTATTGCATTCTGATATACAGCACCCAGCAGATTATGATTATACTGCAGAAAAAACATGGATGTATGTTATTCCTAACATGGCGTATGCTGTTGTTTACTCACCTGAAGCTGTTTCTGTGGTTGTGTGGTCTGTGTGGTAGTGGGTAGCACTTTGTCCCGAGTGCCCCGGGCTCGTTCGACGCCCACCGAGGTCATCATATACAGAATATACAAAACAATGTATGTACAAAACAGAAAAATCTGGAAGAAAAACAAGGCCAAAAACAGGACGTGGTTATTGGTTATTATTCAGAAACAGCTTCCATGTCCTAGTTTCTAGTCCAAATATTTGCAGACACCAGATGAGTTTTCTTTAAGCGAGCTAGCTGACGTTTTCTGCAGATCTTCCCTTCAGTGTCCCACGCAGCGTCAGGCAAACACACAGGGGCCGTATCGGATTTCCTTTCTCCTAAACCCAGTTGGGCAAGATTGAGCAATACTCTGACCGCCAGAAACCCTTGTAGAAAAAACAATCAAGCTTATCCGAGCACTGCTGAAATGAAGACCACGCTACGAGACCACACTGGTGTCTGCTAACACTTTACAACTAGCCTGATGTGTCCTTCTAAAATGCTCACACTCAGATCACATCACATAGCCATTCCTCATGCATACAAAACGACAACATAGTCCTCCATAGGAATGTTTGAATGATGATCAAAACATCTCGCTATTTCGCCATCCAATGTTTATATCACAAATTTTCTGTTTAAGTTGGCAGTCTCTGTTAGTCCAGCTGGTGACCTTTTAATTACCCACAAAAAGCACATTTTCACAACTTCAGATGTTGAAACAAGGAAATATCAAAGGGATAGTTCACCTTAAAATTAATATTCTGTCATCAATGACTCAAGTCGTTTCAAAACCTGCATAATCTTCAGTCTTTAACTCTTTTCTTAGTAATCATGCCATATAACCTGTCCAGTTAGAAAAAAGCACCATATAAGTAGTCCATATGATTCATGCTCTATAGTCCAGGTCTTCTGAAGCCATACAATAGCTCTGTGTGAGTAAACGGCTAATATTTACTATCAAATCCAGGGCCAAGGACACTAAGGATTATTTCTATTTGTCCAGTCGAACCAGTGTTTCAGATTTTTACTTGCACTAACAAAATATCCACTGGCCTCAAAAAATAAATATATAAATAAAAAATTGTTACTTTGACCCCAGCAAACTTGTATTAGCTATAATAAATAAGGTTGTAATGACGCTAAACTTTGTTACCTATGAATTTTCACATTTCACACTGCGAAAACTACTAGCCTAACTAATATAAAGCATTATTTAATAAAACATTTATTAAATTAAAGCTGCAGTCAATAAGTTTTGCCTCCGTCACCATCTCTGTTTGAAAACCTGCAATTGCAGCTGTGTGCGGATTATCTTCCTTGCGTGGGTTGTGCGGCGGCACGGCTCCAGCGTGGATTAATTGAATGTTTTGAGGAGCATGTGTGGCAATTAAAAAAAACTGACCCGAAACAATAGGTAGTCCTACAGAATGTAGGCTAGATATAGGCAGCAGTAATTTATAATCTAATATAATGCACACAAATTCGTTCTTTACAGAACGGAGTGGGATCTGAGCGGGAATTGGTTTATGGTGAGCGTGAGCGGAATATTAACGGAGCGCTTGCTTGGGCGGTTAGAGCGACTGAGTGGAGCACACGTCCATAGAGCGGAAAACGGAGCAGAGCGTCACACCGCTCCACTTCGCTCACATGCTCTGGTGGCAGTCAGTCACCGCACCGGTGTGGCTATTGTACTTTGCACTCACAGATTCGAGCCTACGTCTTGGAATATATGACCCAAATAAGCATTTTCACTGGATATTGTCATCTGAACAAGTCTGCCACATTTGTTCTGACCAACTGAGGAAAAAAGCATTACAATAAATTGCACTACCAATGGTAATTTAATCTAAATTAGCTCATATCACATCAAGCCGTGCAAATTATTATTACTGTTATACTTTATTCTCAAATTGTTAATATTAACAACATCAGCATTGCGTGACTATGAGTATAGAGTGTATAAGCGAGTAGATTTCAATTTCTGTACAGTCTAATCTCTAATTGTCATACCACTCTAATTTAATATTAAGAGATTATTTTAACCCAAAAAGTAAATTATGCTCCCTTCGAACTGGTTGTCTTTAAAATACAAATCTTGTGTAATCCCAGGCTATCTGTAATCAGAAGTACATTTCAAACTGGAATATAATTTAATTTCATTCACATGTGTTTCATAAACACATAATCCTTTCTGGATTACAATACGCCATCAAAATGATACATTTAATTATTCCAGCTGCTGTGAGAAAAGGCTATAAACGATCGGCCACCTGCAGGATCCTCACATGCGATAGCCTAGTAGCAGGGACAACTTCTTTATGTTTACAGAAGTGACGTAATGACGCAGTGCCATGCTTGAATTTCCTGCAAAAACCTATCCGTACCACTCAAATTAGAAAACATTATTCTAAGCTTACCGTTGTGAATCGGGCTAAAGTAAGGCGATAGTTTCGAACACTGGCTGGTTATGTACTTGCCCAAATATTGATTTCGGGTCATTTTTAACAAAAAAAAAAGTTACGGACTGTAGCTTTAATTAAACAGTGAGTAATAAAATAAAAACATCAGACAGTTCTTATTGTTGAGCCCTGAAATCTCATTACCATACATTTAAAAGCGCAAGTTTTTACATTAATGATGGCAAATAACAATACGTGTCATGTTCGGTAACTGAGGGGTTATATCACAATATAATCGTTAGGGGTGTAAGAAAATATCGATACACGTGAGTATCACAATATTTTGTTTGGCGATACTGTAAAGTAAGGCGATAGTTTTGAACACTGGCTGGTTATGTACTTGCTCAAATATTGATTTCGGATCATTTTTAACAAAAAAAAAAGTTACGGACTGCAGCTTTAATTAAACAGTGAGTAATCAAATAAAAACATCAGACAGTTCTTATTATTGAGCCCTGAAATCTCATTACCATACATTTAAAAGCGCAAGTTTTTACATTAATGATGGCAAATAACAATACGTGTCATGTTCGGTAACTGAGGGGTTATATCACAATATAATCGTTAGGGGTGTAAGAAAATATCGATACACGTGAGTATCACAATATTTTGTTTGGCGATACTGTATTGATTCTTAAAAACGGAATACAGATATTTAAAAAAAAATAAAAAACCATACAAGATTCATGGCAGTTGTTTCGGTTTGAGTTTATATGCCGACCGCTAGATAGCAGTCTTCATCTCTGAACTTAAACAGTGACAGGAAATAATAGCATTAGGTCACGCCACTGATGTTAGCGTTAATATAGTTCGCTGCTAGTAATGGAGGATGAAAGAATTGTTCCAGTTCCCGTTTCAGTGTACAAAGCTGAAGTGTGGCGTCATTTGGGCTTTTAACATCCACTGTGGGATCGTGGCGCGGGCACCACCTCAGTTCTGCCGATTGCCACATCCTGTGTGAAGAGCCTCGCGCAGCGGGCGGTAGGGTTGCCACGCGGCACGCGCAGCTTTCTCTCGTGGTGGAGGCGTTTTGTGCAGTTGGGGTGGTGCTCGCGTCGTTGTTTTCTTTAGGAATCCAGCAAGCACTTTATTTTTCATTGATATTAAGCAGATGTAATTCTTTTGTTCAGATTAAAATGTTATGCCATTGTGTTACAATTGTAAACTTAAATTGTGAACCTTTAAAGCAGGGTCTAAAAATATATATGGTCTTTTTATAAAATACATTTTATACATACATTTAACTAAAGGATCCTGCAAGCACTAATTTTTCCCCCTTGACTCATACTGCACAAAAAGGGGTTCAATAACATTGAATGTTACAGGGACTGATTATTGTAAATGCAGATCCCACTGTGTTCTGGTTAATTTATTTATTGCTAAGGTTAGCATATGGTGGTGTGTTCTTAATGACAGCTTTCCTAAAAATATATCCTATTCCTAAAATAAGAAATATCCCAATATATCGCCTTGCTTACAGTATCGCTATACATATCATATCGCAACCCCTGTATCGTGATACGTATCGCCAGATTCTTGCCAATACACAGCCCTAATAATCGTAATACAAAAATGCAACAATATGTACTGTGTACAGTTCACCCAAATTGAACATTAAGATTCGAGATTTAATTTATCATCAAATATCATATAGCCAGAAGGTCATATATTTGAGTTTATTTTTAAAAATTATTATTAATAAAGTTAAAAGATAGACAGACAGATAGTAGGGCTGCACGATAAATCGCATGCAATATTTAACGCGCATCTTGTCAGTAAAGTCTGTTCTTTAATCAGCGGTAAATCTCCATCACCTGCGGGCTTTCACATGGAGCAGCATTAACTACACAGAGCCGTAGCCGCACGTGATGGAGATTTACCGCTGATTACAGAATGGCTTTACTGACAAGATGCGTGTTAAATATCGCATGCCATTTATCATGCAGCCCTAACAGATAGATAGAAATTAGGGGTGTAACGATACACGTATTCGTATTGAACCGTTCGGTACGAGGCTTTCGGTTCAGTATGCATTACAAAACGAACGATTCGTTGGTCTAATGCTATTACATTTAGAAAATAAAAGAGCTGAAAGTGTGTGAAATATAATGTTCTCAGTGCCACTGCGCTCAACAAGGCAACACACATAACAGGCAACATGCTGTCTGCCCTGTGATAACCTCCCCTTGCTGGGGTGCGTCGAAAGACGATGATCTTGTATCGACGATAGCCAGAGATAGTCAAAAACATCAATTATTGGCAATATTCGGAGGATTTGTTACATTCTTACTTTTATTAGGCCTATTATTATTATTATGAAGTTACATTTATTAATGTTATTATTCAATTAAAATTACAATTAATTTGCCCACAAAACCGCATAACTGATGCGTTGCGAGGATAACAAAAAATAAGGCTATTTACTCCTCAAATAAAATGTTTTTAAAAAGGTCTTTTAAAACAGGTCTATTATGCAATTCAATATAGGTCTATAATTAAAATGTTAACACTGCAGTCATCAATAAAAATCAATAAAATAAAAAGCTTTATTTAGCCTATTTAAAGCACCGACTTTCAAAAACAACCCGTTTAACACGAAACACATTTCTTCTCATTTTTTTTCACTATGTACGGGCAACAAGAGAAATATTAAGGGAATAAATGAAAACAGTTAGCTATAATATACCGTTATCAGCATATGTTGAAGTAGATTCGTCTCGCCGTCTCTGAGAATATGCGGCGTCAGATGCAGAAAGGTCTGTCATTACTCTGTCATTCCGTTTTTACTTTCACTTTGTGCATAGTGAATTGACGGAGATTAAAACATTCACCGGCATAACCCTTGCGCAAAGTTTGCACGTTGATTATGTGATATCCATTGGCTCGCCTTCACGGTTTAAAACAGAAACATTTCCAACATTGCGACTAAAGCAATTACCCCCGTACCGAACCATGACACCAGTGTTGTATCGAACCGAACCGTTACACCCCTAATAGATAGATAGATACCAAATTTGGCATTTTAATGAACAGTATTTTTGTTAACTGTTTGTCCGATGTATCAGAAGTAAGAATTTAAAAACTTACATTTTAATTCTCTTTTGGCTTTGTTCAGTGTTGTGAGCATACCGTATCATGAGATCAATAGTGTTTCAAAACAAATCAAACACCCCCAGATACCGATTGGGTTTAAATGCCAAAAAAATATTTAACATTTGGTCTGTTTCTCACACAAAGCATTGCAAACATATGGCTTTGAAAGATTTGTAACATAAAGCATGAGTGATATGAACTGTTTTTTAATGATACTTAAGGTAATTTTGGATCTACACAGCCACTGTCCCCATTCACTTTCATTGTAAGTAAAAGTGCAGATGTCTGCTTTTGTATTCCAAAAAAGAAAAGAAAAAGAAAGTCAAATAGGTTTAGAATGACATGGGAGTGAATAAAAAAACAGAATTAAAATTTTTGGGTGAACTACTGCTTTAAGAAAACATTCTTGGATTTTCCCCCAAATTAAATCCTCAATTTGTGAAGAAACTAAACGAAGACTAAAACATCAGCAAGTGTTGCTCGCACAGAAGACAAGGCAACACATAACATTTGTGATGAATACAGTGGGCTTTTCTTGGCTGTTAGAAGAGATCTTATTATGCATGTTTAACCCTTCGATGAATACGACGCCCGACTAGATTCTGAAGTATAGAGGATCATCAGATAATATCTGTCAAAAATTCCCAGCTTGCAATATACATCATAAAGATCTTACTGGGACGAGTCTGGCTGTGCAAGCGCTGCTGGTCACAAACGGTTTAATGATGACAGTAAGCAAAACAACCCACGAAAGTGATTCGACCAGCTGACAATGGTCTCATGTGGGGACAGTTCTGAGATCCTTACAAAATTGAAAAACAAAGCCTTTTTTCTTGGTCAGCAGACCACCCATAGTGTCCTTGAATTTACAGATAATGTGTATATAAAGCACACTTAGAGATGTGGACTGAATAATACACCACAAAATAAAAATTACAATGAGTTTTATCATTTATTATGAACAGGGAGCTCAATGGACTAACCAGAGAACATCTACAACACATATGATTGTGGATAAAGCAATTTATATTAAAGGGGTCCTATTGATGCTGCTAAAAATAACATTATTTTGTGTGTTTATGGCTGGGACGAGTCTGGCTGTGCAAGCGCTGCTGGTCACAAACGGTTTAATGATGACAGTAAGCAAAACAACCCACGAAAGTGATTCGACCAGCTGACAATGGTCTCATGTGGGGACAGTTCTGAGATCCTTACAAAATTGAAAAACAAAGCCTTTTTTCTTGGTCAGCAGACCACCCATAGTGTCCTTGAATTTACAGATAATGTGTATATAAAGCACACTTAGAGATGTGGACTGAATAATACACCACAAAATAAAAATTACAATGAGTTTTATCATTTATTATGAACAGGGAGCTCAATGGACTAACCAGAGAACATCTACAACACATATGATTGTGAAGATAAAGCAATTTACATTAAAGGGGTCCTATTGATGCTGCTAAAAATAACATTATTTTGTGTGTTTATGGGGTTTAAAGTTTAAAAAACATTATTTTCCACATACTGTACATTATTGTTTCTCCTCTATGCCCCGCCTTTTTGAAACATGTCGATTTTTACAAAGCTCATTGGTCTGAAAAAGCGAGGTGTGCTGTGATTGGCCAGCTATCCAATATGTTGTGATTGGCCGAATACCTCAAGCATAAGGGCATTGTAGGCTACTCTCACAGGAAACAGTCCTCAACCTCCGCAAAATGTGCATCACACATCTGAATATTTGGGTTGAAGTGTTCTGGAACAGTGTTGTAAATACAACTTAACCACTGATTTCTAGTCGTGTCCTCTTTTGGAAGACCAAACAAAGTAGTTTCGCTTTCACAACGAAGCACACAACATCTTCATGACATGGCTGCAGCGTCAAAACTACAGTGAGACTAAAAGTTACGCCTTCTTTCTTTGCGTGAACATTTGGGCGGCGTTATGCAAATCTTCCCACATAGTGAGGTAGATATGTGGGGCGTGTTATAACGAGTCATTTTAGGTAGGTGTGGCTAACTCTGAACTTTTATAAAGAATATCTCTTTGGATTTGAGACTTTAGTCTTTGCAACTTTACAGATCTTCTTTATGCACCAAGAGCTTGTAACACTCCAAAGAGAAAGGAAAACTTGAAATCGCATCATATGACCCCTTTAAACAATTTAACTGTGCAAATGAGATGCAAAAATAAAAACTGACAGCATTTACCAAAAATACACCAAAATGTTGAACATAGAAAATGTGCATTATTAAATAGCAAAGTTATGAGATTTAATTTTTAAAAAAAAGCAAACAACCACTTTTCAAGTGAGTATAAACATAGGCCAATAATCAATGTCAATAATCTCAAAATCGCCAAATATCAGTCAAATAAACGGTTTATCATTAAAACAGAAAACTTTGTTTTTGTTTTAAAGACTAATAAAATTATAAACTATTGCAAAAGATATATAAACAGAAATGTCAAGACATTCATAATCAAAACATGTGATGGCTCCATCACATTAGAAAACTTTAAACAAATGACCATAATTAAAAACATATGCTCAAACGACTTTGTTTGCCTTTTGAGTTTCGATAAATATGTTCTCCATCCTAAATTCATAAATGTAACTAAATTAAACAAACTATGGGATGGCTCAAACAAAGAGAATTTAGATCCAGGACCAGAGTCAACGTCCTCGTGCATCTTTAAAGATTCACTAGAGATGCTTGGAAACATTCAAGGTACATATGGTGTTTTTTTTTAAACCTCATGAATGTGTAAAAACTGAGTCTGTGAAGAGCATAAGCGCATAGTCTCTGCTCTCCTTTGTCCATGATCTCTAATGTCATTTCCTCTCCTCAATTGTTGTAGCTTAGCTGGCTAAACCGCCTGGCGTCCTTGTATATCACATTTAAATCCTCGAGAGCATTTAAACACCAAGATATATATCAATATGACCTTTTTAATGGACGAAAAACTGGTTTAATAGTGATGCGGGCTTGTAAAAGGGATGTTTGAGGAAAACGGTCACACAGTAGAGCTAAAGCCGCGTAAGCTAAACTGAGGAGGCAAAACAAAGCCATACAAAAAACAACATAACCTCGAAAAACATGGAGCGAAGGATTAAAACAGATGAACGTCAAAGCAATGAAAATATTAATCACGCAACACTTGATAAATAAAGCCCAGTTAGAGTCTGAAAGAGAGAATTGTTTTTTTTTAATTACCTGCTAACACGCTTCACTCAGCCAGCAGCAGACTCCGTCACGTGACCGTCACCGCGCCGCTGCCGCTTCTCTCCATGCAGATCAATGCAACTAATAAATTGTATACAATCTTAAAGGGGAATTTAGTCATAATTTAGTCATTCGGTTATCACTACTGCTTTTCTGTCATTGCTAAGCTTTTGGATCTTAGATCAGGCAAAATAAGTTTTGTAGACAAGAAATGTACTAATACATTTATAAGACATTGTATTGAGATGAATGCTATTCTGGTCCTATAAGAAGAAATTATGTTTTTCAACATCTAAACAGAAAATCAGTTAAGGAATTTAGATGCAAATATCTGTTATTATTTCCTCTTCCTCCAAAAGAGGTGGATTATAAAATGATGCATGCTATTTATCCTGCTAAGGAATTTGTGAGATTAAGATTTAATGCAGATTATAGCATTGGTCAACTCTGTAATAATTATGTAGCAACTGTCAAACCTTTATTTCTTCATTGTAATTTGGTTATTTCATTTTGAACTGATGTAGGCTAGGTAATTGGATAAAACAAAGAGTAGGCTATTTTTTCATTACTTGGGACATGGTGAAATTTGGAGTAGGCTACATTCGGAGGACAAACGTGTCAATTCTTTATTCACAAATGTAACATTTTGAAAACAGCACCCCAGTTTAATGTCTTTAAAAAGGAGCTAGCCATGTATACAGAGGTTTAAAAAAATTAGTTGAAGTGATAAGGCCAAGAAACTATTTGATTTGTTTATTAAGTGTGATTTTGTTTAAACCCCTACATTGTTTATGGTTGAATGAATGTATTTGATTTCTAGTAGGCGTTTTGTTTCTCTGTTATAGTATGATTAATATGAATATCTCAGTCTGTGAGGACTACTTACGTTAGCCTATATTGTTTGTTAATGTTGAAATGCAAAATAAAAACTACTCCTTTTCTGTGTAAAATTTCATCTTATATCGCTTCTGGACTTTGAATGAAAAGTTTGCCGTCTCTAAACATACGTTTAAAGAGGATTTATAGTATATAGTTATTGTATTATTGCTCCCTACAGATAATACTCATGAGCGTGCTTTTCTCCAGCGGTTAAATAAATCACTAGTGTGGTGTTACTTGGGTAATGCCAAAAAACTTTTGTCGCCCAGTGAGCAGTCACACTTCATCATATCATGTTCATCATCGATTATAAATTAAAATGAAAAGCTTTAAATATCAGCAGAATTATTGAGTATAAAAGGAAGTCGTGACGCAAAGCCAGAATGGAAGAAAAATACATCAATAAACTTTTATTCATTTTCTTTTTGAAGAATGTCTCATGTTGCGGTTCTTTTTGTTTTGTTTTGATATAGTACAATATCTTTACACTTGTGATCTGTAAAAACATTCAGGAAGTGAGTATAAAAAAGGGCACCACCAAAATAATGACATTAGTTCACTCACACACACACGCACGTACGTATATCCTCTGACATTTACATAAATTGTATTCTCCCTCTATTAGTTTTTCCAAATATGTATACATATACATTTATATATAAAATACATTTTAAAAGTGATGGGTAATTTCTGCTTAATATATGCCTGTTACGGTGTTCAATGGACTAGCAATTTTGTGACAATTCCATGAAGATTAACATGTAAAAAGACAAAAGAAAAGAAAAAGCCTAAACAAATTCAATCTGCAACAGTCTTTCACAGAAAGACTCTGAAAAGGCAACAATGTCACACAACACTGCCCTGCCTTTAAGCAGAGAAGATGATGAGAAGCAAAAATCCTAACAAATATGATTGTACCTGAACGTCATGAGTGCTAGTGACGGCAACAATACAAAATAAATAAGACTAAGTCTAAGTGTCACAGAGGGAAAATTGCAATCTTGATGCAAGCGTATGCGTGTGTTAGTACAGAATCAGCGATAAAAAAAGCCATTCTCCAAGATACCTCAAACAGAACACAAACGGTATCTGTGATTTCTTACAATTGTCTCTCCCTGCCATTATTTTGGAAAACATAAAGGGAAAAATAAAAACAGCGGGTGAGTCTTCATTGACCGCTATCCGACTCGTGTCCATGTTCACTCCGTGCTCTTCATATAACTGCAGTTTTGACCTCAGTTTCTACAGTGAGGTTACAGGTCAGGCTGTCCGTTCATTTCACCAAGATTCATCTTTGAATACCGATTCTCAGCCTTTTCAGGATCTACAATGTCATATCAGTCCACTGCGAGCCAAGAAAAGGAGCTGATCGGCAGGTCTTTGAAAAACACACAGCAAAACAAACTCAAAATGCCATGCCTTTTATATAAAAAAAAAATAAAAAATGCCCAGAGAGACTGTTAAATATTTTCATATATTTTACACTATTCCACAGTTCTCAAAGGTTCAGGCAGCCGATGCACAGAGGAAAAAACCTCCTTCATCCTTTCCGGACTCCTGCAGAAGATCAGGCATCAGTGTTGGTCACGCCTTTTTTTTTCTTTGCCTTTTTTTCCTCCACACACACACACACAAAAAAACACATGTAAACTCAGGAGTACAACAGGCAAATGAAAATCGAAAGACATAAGACCAAGCACAAAAACGGTTGAGAATCACATCTATGCTCCTGGGTCCTTTGAGAAATAGAGGATAATCTTGTATAGAAGCTAAACCGGAAGTGAAAAAGAGTGAGGAGAAAAATGGAAGATGGCCTGTAAGCACATGGTACGTGAGAGCGAAACGGAGGGATGATGTAGGCTAGCTCCAGAGGCCAGCGTAGTTTCCGTGTAGGCCAGAACACAGGGGGCCGCCGGCCACGAAGAGTTTGGTGCCGGAGTCATCGTAGCAGTGTGTGTATACGGCGTTCGGGAAGGAGCGGACGTCGGAAAAGTAGCTTCTCCATGTTTCGTCGTGATTCTGTGGAGACATGAAGATAGAGACCTGACTGGATTTTTTGCATTTATTTCAGCCTCAATCAAAATATAGAATAATACAGTAAAAACAGTAATATTGTGATATATTATTACAATTTAAAAGAACTGTATTTCTATTTGTGATATATTTTATCTGTAATTTTTTTCTGTGATGGCAAAGCTGAATTTTCAGCAACATTACTTCAGTGTCACATGATCCTTCAGAAATCATTCGAATATGCTGATTTGGTTGAAACATTTCTTATCAATGTTGAAACTGGTTGTGCTACGTAATATGTTTTGTGGAAAATGTGATAAAATATATATTTTACAGGATTCTTTGATGAATTCAATGCATTTATATCTTTTGTAACATTACAAATGTCTTTACTGTCACTTTTGCATCTTCTCTGAATAAAAGCATTAATTTATTTTAAAAAAATCTTACTGACCCCAAAATTTTGAACAGTAGTGCATAATATGTATAATGTCTAATAAGCAGGATAATGTACAGTCGGCTGTTCATTATCATAAAATAGCCCTAGACAAGAAAATCAAAACCTCAATGTGCAGAGGAGTTGTTAATTTTGCGATAATGAACAGGCTGACTGTACACTATCCCTTACATAGTTAAATTCTTCAAAGTTGTAACAAAGGGCAGCAACCTAAGTGGGTCAATTAAGCCAATCAAATAGTAGTTATGCTTCTGTGTGGACTCCTGATTAATGCAGCATACAGCATTTCTGTTTAATGAACTTCCATATGGTAAGCAGAGACTGATGCTGCAGGCAACCGACTGCTGGAGTAAGCACTTTGTAAAAGAGCTTATATATAGACTAATTAATGCAAACGCCTGTCCAAAGATTTCATGGCAAAAATTAGGTAGGGGGTGTATACAGGAAAATAAAAATGTACATGTACATCAAATGAGCATAATCAAGTTTCTGTTTGAGTATCAGATTTAGTTTAAAACAGAATTATAATGAATATAAACCACTGTTCAATTAATGCTTTTATTCAGCAATGATGCATCAGTTTGATTAAGTGACAGAAAAGATTATAATGTTAAAAAGATTTCACCGTTGTTTTTATCTTGAAAATAATAAAATGTTTCTTCAGCACCAAATCAGCCCATTAGAATGATTTTTGAAGGATCATGTGACACTGAAGACTGGAGTAATGGCTGTTGAAATTTCAGCTTTCTATCACATGAATAAATTACATTTTAAAATATATTACTACAGAACACAGTTATTTGAAATTGCAATTATATTTTCCAATTTTACTGTGTTTTTAAGCAAATAAATGCTGCCTTGCTAAGCACAAGAGAGTTCTGAATGGCTGTATATATAAAATATACTTATAATAAAAAAAAATAAGTAATTACTATATATTTATAAAGTGCTATAATGCTTATAAGATCAAATGTAACACACACACACACACACACACATATATATATATATATATAGTTCAAGGTCTCATCAATATGTAAAATTTCAGCACGCAAGTAGGGATGTGCGATATTGACAAAAAAAGATCTCAATATTTTCTGGGATTTTATCAATAAGGGGAATTAGATGACATTTCGCTGAGTGTGTTATTGTGCTGATATGCTGATATCCTTAAGTGTTTGATGTTCTATATATTCTGTGTGGTGGTCGGTTCACAGCAGTGATAGAAATTAATCTTTTCCAATAAGTTTAAATTGATTTTTACTAGGGATGCACGATATTAGATTTTTGCCGATATCCGATATGCCGATAATTTTCAACTCATTTTGGCCGATAGCCGATATATAATTATTTTTATTTTTGGTTAGTTTTTAACAAGAACTTATTTTTTAGAATTAAATAAACAATAATAAAGTTATTTTATAATGACAGTACATTGAAGATTGGAAAATAACTATAAATAAACTATATATTAATCACTGCATTTTTTCCCCCACAAAGATGCAGTGGTAACCTTAACATTTTATTTTAAGATTTAACATTTGTAGATGGTCTAAAGCAAAATAGTTGTAAAAATTCAGAAAATCTTTTAAAGCTCATAATTTGTTTAAAAAAATCTAACATATTACACATTAATGAATAAATCAGTATATAAAATATTATTTAATTTAAGTGTCGTTTTTTATTTATTTATTTATTTTGTTTGTTTGTTCATGTAAGCTATAGCTTCTGACCTTTAAATCAAAACATACTCATGATTTTATGGCATCAATTACTGCTTTATTTAATCAGAAACAGTCTAAATATTATTTGTGTATTTTGCTTTCATTTTATTAGAAGTAGGCCAACAGCACCCCCTGCGGAATTAAAACTCCTTACCGAAAGGGCATTAGGACCCGGGGGAGGCTGCCGCTGCATGTGCTATTACGGTTTACTTTATCACACACAAATGTGTCAATGTGCATTCTCAGCTTAAATACAGCAACCCAAAACAGTGAATCTAATCACCATTCAGACAAAACTTTGCTTCAAGAATGAGCCACAATGCTGACGTGATCTAATCGCACTGTTGACTTGATCTAATCGCTAGCCCACCCTGAGCACATGCGAGTTGATGTATTCCTTTTATTGGCAAGACATTAGGGCTGTGTATCACCAGCAAAGTCACGATACGATACGTATCACGATACAGAGGCCACGATACGATCCATATCACGATACATGACTGCACTGAATTTCACCTCATATGTAATGGCATATGTTTCATGTTTACATTGTGCACTCCCCACCAGGTACAATATTCTGATTGTTTGCATCTTGTTTTTAAGCCCATAAATAATAATGTACTTGTTCTAATACATTTATATTGTAATGTACTCATTCTAATATGTCAAAAAAATTATTTACATTGCTGGTAGGCTATTATTGCACAAATTAACACTCTCTCTACAATAAAAAAAATTTGAAGAGTTCTAAACTAACGCACTGTCTTCACTGTATCTAACGCTCACACTCTCAAGGCTGATTTATACTCGAGCGTCCGCAAGTTCGCTTTGAGTGCGCGCAACGTCGTTTCCGTGCAGCTCCGCTTCCGAAGATGCACGAGTTCAAAGCGACTCTAGCCGAACATGCACGTCTGTGCCAGCATTTGTGTGAAACAGAAGCTCTGTTAAAGCTCTGTTTTGGGGATTACCTCTCTTTATATCAGGCAACCCCGTTGTCTCTGCGGCCAGATTATTAACAGATGCTCTATTCATGCTTTTTTAGAAACCTCGCACTTTTCTACTCAATTTTAAACGTTGCCGCTGTATCGATACTCGTATCGTCAAATCTCTGTGACGATACATCGTTGTATCGATATTTTGAACACAGCACTACAAGACATATCTGCATAATTTTTCATATCGGGCCGATCATCCTTAATTTTTACCTTTTATGCGCATTTTACCTTTATAAAGCCATTTTTCTAAAAGTGTGCATCATTTTTTGAGCCAAATTCTTACATTTAATTAGTCAATTAGAATAATAAGACATTTGGGCTGTTACCAAGCAAATAAAATCAGTATCAACAAAATTAATCTTTGCAATGCAGAGAAAACACAGAAGCTGCATCTGAAAGGGAATTTAGATATATCTACACACTGTTTAATGCAGCTTGGAGGGACATGGAATGCTTGAACCTGCAGTTACAAATGCATAAATAATGTTTTGATATTTTAGACATAAAACGTTGGATACTGACAATAGAATTTATTTATTTTTTTTAAATAAGACACTTTAAATGTGAAATTAAAACCGCCAGTAGGTGGCAGCAAGTCACTGTTAACAAGCGAGTCATTGCGATTGAACCGAATCATTTAAACGGGTGATTCATTCAGGAACGAAACACCATCATGTTGCTCAGAGACGCAAAACAGTGCTGTGGCTGTGTTTAGAATTATTTTTGTTGGCAAAACAGAGCAAAAACAGGCAATATGGTGTCTAAAACGTAAGTCAGTTAATATTAACTTCTTGTTTATTGAACTGTTTGTATCACATATTTGTAATCATGCTGATTTTTGCAGAAATAAATGGCACTCTTCATGTGATATTGTTTAACTATATGAAATTATACAAATATGTACATTTTCTGCCCCCATATCTTGAATTTTGTGATCATTCTAAATGCAGTTTAACAGTCTGAATCATGCAGTGAAAGAACACTCTAAATGCGCACACGCACTAGTCTAACCTACAAGACTTTGTAATGTATGTGTGCACGCTGTAGATGTGTTTTGTTTGGTTTTTGCGATATACTTGATAATGTCAAATCGCATATCAATAAAACAACAATTATGATATTATCACAAGCAATATACATCGTACACCCCTACATGCAAGACAGAGAACCTGGGTCAAAAAAGGCTCAAAATGGACAATCTTACCAGCCATCCTCTCCCTGTGCTGAGTTTCAGGATGCCCTCTGCTGTGCGATTCCGGTACCCGCCGGGTGAGCTGGATGGGCCATCCAGAAAACGCTGGGCCCTGATATCGTAGAAGAGCAGGGAACCTTGGCCAGTGCCTACCGTCACTATGTGTTCATAGAAGCTCACAGAGCGAATACCTAAGAGAGAATTAACAAAACTGAGCACCAGTTTGCTTTGCAAATTACAACGTTTTAACTATCTTTGAAGGGGAAAAAACCATACCACTGCCACGCTCCCTGGAGCTCACGGATTTGATGTTCTGAGATGACTGCCGGGGGTCAAGGAAGGAAACGTGTGCCTGAGAGCCGACTGCATAAACAGACCAGTCCATACCGTATGCCAGACACACATTCTCCTTACAGTAAGGGAGTTTGGTAGAAAGCTCCTACATGGGAAAAACACCCATTAGACTATTGTAAACATCTACAAATATTGAGCTTGAAAAATATGAGAGAAAAATGCTGATAGTAGTAACTGTACCTTGTACAGGTTGTCTTCTGCCTTCCACAGATGGAAATATCCATCTAAAGAAACAGCACCCAACTCCTTATGGATGAATGAAGGAGATAAAAGCAGAGAAACGGTGAGCTTGAATAACGCACAAAGCAATCAATTTTCAGTCACGAGTCAAAGACAGCGGCTAACCTTATGGCTGTTGTTGAAGGCCAGTGCGCGCACTTTGCAGTTGTAGGGGTGGGTGTACTCTTTCGGGATGTCCTTGAGAGCACGGTGAGAGATGTGGGAGTAACAAGGAACACCTTCCACATTCTGACACTTCTCAGCCTGAGTCAGCACCTCCTCTGATATCTCCCACAGACCCATGGAACCATCACGAGATCCTGCTCCAGTGAATAAAAGATTCATTCTTCTTTAATTGAACAGTAGAATCTGTACACCATGAACAACATCTAATTGTGTACAACACACAAGAGATAACATATTATTAATCGCAAAATAAACCCCAAATGTGTAGTCAAGGGAAGTAGAAGGGTCTTGTATAGCATTTAACAGGATTATTTTGTAATAATAACTGACTGACTGTACATTACCCTGCTAATTACACAAATTCTTAAAAATAAATGAATGGACGTGAAATGTTGTGATTTGAATTGATATGAGAAACAAGGACACTGGCTGGATTTCAGTATTTCAGAGAAAGATGTGATACCATAACCCCTCATCCTAACAAGGCACAGGTTTAAAGCATCAGATTTTTTTGTCCTCAATGAAAGTGAAAATTACAAAAAAAAAAATTCATCACAGGCAAAAAAGCAACTGCTTGTGCAATAAGCAAATCACAGGCAATTTTTCATGCTTAAGTATGCAGCTATGTGTGACAGAAATGTGAATCAATGAGATTTTAGGATAAAAAATGGCTGTCCACCAACGTTTACCATCCAACCTGCCAGAACTGGAGAGGATCTGCAAGGAGGGATGGCAGAGGATCCCCAAATCCAGGTGTGAAAAACTTGTTGCATCTTTCCCAAAAAGACTCATGGCTGTATTAGATCAAAAGGGTGCTTCTACTAAATACTGAGCATTGGGCATGAGGACCATGTGATATTTCAGTTTTTCTTTTTTAATAAATCTGCAAAAATGTCAACAATTCTGTGTTTTTCTGTCAATATGGTGTGCTGTGTGTACATTAATGAGGAAAAAAAAATAACTTAAATGATTTTAGCAAATGGCTGCAATATAACAAAGAGTGAAAAATGTAAGGGGGTCTGAATACTTTCCGTACCCACTGTATATACACAGTTTTTTGCACTGACAACGAAAAGAAAATCATTATTATAATTTAAAATGTAATTCTCATTACTGTAATGCACTAATGAAAACAATCACGTCCACACATTTTTTTCCCTTTATTTAAATCAGAATACATTTTGAATTTTCTAAACTGTATATGCATGTATAAAAAAATTATAACAAATAAAAAAAAAAGTATGAGTCACTTTCACATTACTTTATTGAGAAATGGGGGCAGGGATGTGCTAAACTGTAATGAAAATAATCTCAAATATCTTTAATGTTCCTAAACAGGGCCCCATTTTCTTTATACAAAACTTACTTTCCATTTCTTTTCTCTCTTTGCTCTTGAGGTGAAATATAACACTGGCAATTCTTGACAGGTTTCTTGAAATGTGCACTAGCACTTAATGTATTAGTACACAGTGCTACTCAAAACAGGATCTGCAAGCTTCTTACCTGAGACTGCCATGGTGTCACTGATCCACGCAATGGAGAATATCCAGTCATTGTGTCCATCCTGTCAGAAATACAGAACCAATTTGAGTCTAGAGAAATACTTCATCAGTGCATATCAGAATTGTTTTCATTGTGTTAGCCAAAGCTAGCCACTAAGAGCACTTAAGCCCTATGAAGCCAAAGGCTGAGGCCACTAAACCACTTGACATTTACACTACTTGTACAACTAGAAAGAAAGCAAAGGCCGAACTCACATCACCGACGCAGACAGGGTCAAGAGTGGGAAGTCTGTACACTGCCAGGCTGTTGGGGTTGTCTCCTCCAGTGGCCAACAATGTACGAGAGGGGTTCAGCTCAATGGCGTGGATGCCACATCCCTGCTGGACATCTAGACTGCCGACTGATCCTGGATTGTGGAAGTGGAAATTGCCTCCCACTCCTCTCAAACCCTGGGAAACCTCTGCCCTTCCCTCTCTGTCTTTCAGCATGGGTATCCTGGTTATCTGTCCCGAGAGGACGTCCACCACAAATAGCTAAGAAATCATAAAGAAAAACAAGATTAGTAAAGTCATCTAAAAGAGGATTGCAACTAAGAGATAATAAATATAAATCTATTTCACACGGCTTCAGAAGTGTTAGAAGCATACAGCATACGTTCAGACAACTTTTATTGTATTTGTATGTTATTTTGGAGCTTGACAGTTGCCCTTTTTTTTCGTTATATGGAAAAGCATCATTTAGATGCAGAATTTTAAGTTTGAGGTGAACTATACATTTAAAGGAATATTTATCAAGTTAGACTCTATTAACGGCCGCCGCGCACAAATGACGTTGCTGTCGACCGGCTTACGTCACTTCCTAGTACACACTGTTGGTGCGAATGTAACCCTTTAAATGGTACTGGGAAATCGTCCCAGTACTTTAGTACTGTACATTTAGTTCTGGAACTAAAGCGGTGCGAAAGGCCCTAATGTACGAGATGACTTGACATTATTATATACAGTAGTTGTCAATAGTTTTTCTAACATGGAATATTGCTGTAGGGTGCGTTTGTGTACTAGTGCATTATTTCAGTATCACTGAGATACTTGTATAGTTTTTATTCATATTTTTATTAATATAACATTTTATTTTCAGCTTCAGTTTTAGTACATCAAGTTACACTTAATTTTTTTTATTTTATTTAGACAAATGTCTTTTAATGAAAATGTTTTTTTAATGGTTTTAGTTAACTATAATTAACTCTGCTGGTAGGTCTACTTCCCTTTACGGTTTCTCTTGGAAATTTTTGTTTTGCACCATTACCTAATCTTTAAAAATGTATTTACCCAATTCATATGCAGAACATTATGAAAGTGTCTCAGGAAAATTTAATGTTTTCTTTTGTTTTGTTTTTATAAAGATAAGTAAATACAGAGAATAAAAGTAACTCGCATCCTGTTCATGTATGGGGTGAAAGCAGAAAACTGAGCAAAAATATAATATCAAAATAATATTCTCATCTATTTCCCAAATTACAACCAACATCGACAGTAAACTTTTAAGAATTAAATGGCACAAAGACCAGTAATATCTTGAAGATCATAAATACTGCATTATAACACTGCAAATTTCATGCTAAAGTACTAATCAGAAACGGTCTTACCGTGTTGCATTTGGTCCCACATACCACCTGCCTGTGGTTGAGCCATTGGGAAGCGAACACCTTGTTAAGGCGGCCGAGGGCGAACTCTCTCTCTCTGAGGATTCCTGGGATGCGTCCGGCAGCGAATCCACGCAGACTCCGCTGGAAGCTCCACTCATGCTGCTGCTGCGGGCGGAACTCCCTTCCTCTCACAGAGCACACCACCGACCGCCGGCTCTGCCACCAGGGCTGGGCATGACGCGCTGAGCTGGACAAGCGGGCACGCTTAATCGCAGACTGACACCAGTCAAACTGACAGAGAGACAAAAAGGAGTGAGTCGACCATATAAACAATCTAAACGAAAACAATGTACTTTCATAAATGTTCTTTATCATACAAGATTTAATTGCATGCCATTTTAAAGAAATGCAAATACTTGCAACAAAGTGTAATAGCATTTACTGTCTGTACCTGATAATTATCTATCTATATCAATATCTATCTATCAATCATTTTAGGCCATATCAGCATCAAAGGCTATATTCATGGAAAAACTCTACAATAATATACAATTATCTTAAAATAATCTTAACTACACTTCAGTGAATTGTATCCAACAATTTAACAATATTAGTTTTACAAACAAATAAAATAAATAAAAATAACAATTACATACAAAATTGATATTTGATAATTCTCAAATTTTTTTCAGGAGAAACTTTTCTTAATGCACTTGGAGTAAAAATTTTTATACTTTGTCTAAATAATTTAAAAATAAAACACTAAAAAAATTTAATTAACTTTAAATACTACAAATAAATGAAAGCATCACAACATTGTAATGCACATCATGAAAATATATATTACTTTGAAAGTTTTCTAAAAAAAAATTATTAATATGTTTAAAAGAATAACTTTAAGTGAACATTAAGTGAATCCTTTCCATAAAACTTGAGGAAAATTTGTTCACTTAAACCCTAATTTTACTTCACAAAACTGTTCTTTGGTACTGAATTGCACATCTCTTTCTCAAACTGATTATATAACATTTTCAAACAGAAACCCTAAATTATGAACACAATCTCATCTGGTTTTAGGTGGCTTCCTTGCAATCCAGCACTGTGTAGGCACTTTTAAAAACAGCTTGCATTTGAAGAAAAACACCTGGTGGCATTGCAAATTCATCACCTCACCCTGCCAACAACCTTCTACACAATCGAACACAATAAATTATGGCAAAACTGCCAAATGACAAAAGTGAGGGCATCCATTTGATGCTAACGCCAGCTGGCAGACAAAGCGATTCTGTGTTCCCAGCGAGCATCGACAAATCAAACATAGCCATGACACAGTCGAGTAAAACCAACGGCTTGAAGTATATCAGCTCCTGTGGGCCCAACAATCTGTGTGAGAGATTGAGACTCATTCATTTTAATGCTTATTCTCGCTAAACAACACTGACATTATCATGCTTATAATCAAAACATCACCCATATAAACAACTCTTGCTGAAATTTCATCATCTGTCCAGAGCAACAGGAGTAACACACTCCTCTCTATCTCTACTCCAGTAAAGCGCTTCCAATCCCCCTCCAGGCCAGTAGACATCAGCCATATCTGATTGACCCAGATCCTAACAGCCAAGTAGGCCAGGATCTTAGTCAATACATGACCACCTTCTCACACAGAGAAAAAAATGTTCAAGGGTTGTGGGAAGGATCCTGCAAGGATCAGCAATAACATTCAAACAGTAAAAAATAAACTACAAATAAAATCTCATGGGAGACATAGTCTCTATAGTCCCACCTCCAAACTCACACCATTGGTTGATGCCCTGTTGTGTTGGTTGGAATGCTCAAACAAACATTTCGGAGGAATAAACCTGCAAATGGTGGTCACTGGTGTCTGCATATTAAGCTGTGACATGAGAAAGTATTGAAGCATGAAATCTTTACTTTAAATTATATAGGCTTTATATATATACAAACATAGCCTTGGCACAATTAGCATTTGAAAATAAACAAGCTGAATATCAATATTGTAGGCCTATAATAAAATTGTTATTAGAATATAACTGTAATTGATATATTAATTAATAATTAATTATTTATTTCTAAGTGTCACCTGAAAAATTTTAATAAACACAGTGAGATGAACATTTAGTCTCGACATACACAACCATTCCCATTGTCAGGCCTCATTATTATTACAAACATCAACTGTTGAGGCCTATGATATCAGTGCGTTGTTTTTATTGATTTTCACTTTTAGATTTGGCTGTCATGCAGGGATACGTCCAGAGCTGACCCATGACATCCAAAATAAACCTTCAACGAAGCCAAATAAGGAGAGCAAGTGATCTTCCAATCTTCAGTGTTGCACTGAAGACCACCGGCCCCCATATGAGAACTCTATCTTGTTGTCCTGTGTATCCTATTTAACACATCTACTTCACCTTATGAGATAAATCAGATATACATCAAATAAACACAATATTACAATGTACAATTGCACAAAAGGCTGCAAACGAACAGCGCACATCTGAAGTGTCTCTGAAGGAAATAATGCATTATTTATCGGCTTTAAGATATCGGCCAAATTTTCTTATCAGGCCGATACCGATAACAGAAAAAATGAGCCGATATGGGCCGATACCGATATGGTGGCCGATATATCATGCATCCCTATATTTAACACATCTACTTCACCCACAAGGCCATAATAAGATATTGCTCACTGATTCTTGAGTACTTGGACAAAGAAATATCCTGTTTCTTCTATTTTCCCATAATATGTGCATTGTTACTGGCCAATCACTCAATATGGAGTCAGTACTGACAGTAATGTGTCTGATATTCATCATAAATATTGACATAAACACCATTTACTTCAATAAATCAATCATTTAAGACTATGTGGTGATTTCAACCTCCATTTACTGAATTGTCACCATACTGAAACAAAAAATAATAATACAGTACTGACAAAATAACTATATTTTGCTTATCACACTTGTATACTCATTTTGTGTTTTCCTACTGGTAATAATAGAACCTACATGAAAATACAAGCAAAATGATTGAAAATAATAAATAATATCACAATAATAGAAATTCGCCTGCACCTTTATGACCTTGTTGAACTCATAGCAGGTGAAATATAGAAAGAGGACCTTCAGGATGAAGGCGGTCTGTGATATTTCCTGATTCTATGTGTTTAAAACTGATTTAAAAAAATGTTAAATCATAAATATCTGACGGTTTTGATTGAGTACAGACACAGCTGTGAGAAGCAGCTAAAATGAACCTCTTCCACCAGTATTATTTTGTTTGAAATACATTTAATTTATATAAGATCTATAAATCTGAGGAAAGGTGGTTTTTAGGATGACAATTTAATTCACTAAGAGAAAACTAAATAAATTGATACATATTTTAAGAACACTATAGTGATCATATATGAATGCTGATTAGAACTAATGTATAACATGTTTTGTCTCATATCAAGAATCATTGAGCAGCTGCAAAAGCCACATTCTTAACAATGAAAAATAATGTATTAGTGTAGCAGATCTCAGTCCTACCGGACGTCTAACCAGCTTATACTGTCTGGCTCTTGCTGGAGAATCATTATTCTGTAATCTAGTGCAGGATTAAGACGTACTCAAACAAAACACACAACCTTAATGTTCAAGAAAACTGATAAATGATTACACATTAATAAACAAACCAGCTCACCAACGCCAGATCAATAATGTCAACAGCTAAGTTAACAACCCCACCATTAGCCTTTAGCCAGCAGACTGGTGCTAACATTAGACTGCAATCTTTTCCTGTTTGTAAACTGTCACATTTCGAGCTTGTGTTTCTGTTTCCTATGATTCATGAATGTTGTTTCATATAAAACGAGAGGTTAGCATATGGCTGCAAGCTGTTTTTGTTAGGTATATGAGAGGTTTGTTGTTTACCTGTTGTTCCTTGGGCTCCTCTGCTTTTCTTTTCCTGCTAACTGTTTTTCTCGCCATAGCCCGACACGCACAGGTCCCTCACCCACATGGAGGGCAGCAGCGACGCTGGGAAGTGGGTCATATAATGGCGATGGGGTTGTTTCGCGGCCTCTGGGCTGGTGAAGCGGCGCGACTAATCGAATCCAGCCGAGTCGAGTCGGACGGTTCTAAATCGAATAACCGTCCGATTCCGTTGCAGTGGCCGATCACCGATCCGTTGGATTTAGGTCGTTTTTAGGGCAGGCTTGTTAGGTTTTCGTCCGTGTGGAGGAGCTACAAGGGTACTGCTGCCCCTCCCCTGCACCGAGCTCACTTTTCATCTATCTTCTTTCTCTGTCTCTGTCCGTCGTTCTCCAGACAAAACGCGTCATCCGACAACGAACAGCGCCGCGCGCAGCCGCAATCCAGTCAAACATCAACAAAAACAAGGTCAAACGTACGCGTGCGCGTCACTTGCGTGCGTGCGCGCACGACCTTTTCACGTTCTATGGCTCGCGAGTTCCAGTCAAACATCAACAAAAACAAGGTCAAACGTACGCGTGCGCGCACGACCTTTTCACGTTCTATGGCTCGCGAGTCTTTAACGACTTGTGCTGCTGTATTCCTTTTTACAATTCGGTGTCTTTTAAAGTCCATAAAATACGTTACGGCCTTTATAATGCACAATTTCTCCTGACTGTATTTATAATTGGCTGACTTTTTAATAATTGTAATTATTTAAATAAATATTACACAGCGTGGTCAAACTTAAAATCAACGTGATTAATTTGAAAAACAAACAAATCAACATTACGTAAATGCATACATTAACGGTAGTTATGTTATTTAATCTTAGTAGAAATTGGTTTATTAGATTATAGCTATTTAGGCTGTATTGTAATATTTCTATAAGTTATAACTTTACTCAACTTACAAAGAAATTAAAAAACAATTTATGCAGAAATTCTTGTTTTGAAGAGACAATTGAATAATTATTATATATATATATATATATATATATATATACACACAATTTTGTAATGTACTGTGTTTAAGAAAATTGAAGAAATTTGCTGAATGAGATGTTTTGAATTGGTTATTTCCTCCTCTCTGATCGGCTTGGTTAATATCTGAGCTAGTGAAAAAAATAATGACTTTTCACTAAATGATGAAAATGTTGCCAGTTTCAACAATGCCATCTGCTGATGCACAATGGTTTATTTTGTCTGACACACAATAAGCCGTTAAATAACCTCATTCAACATGCAGCGTGTGAATTTCCTTTAACCTGTGCTCTTTATTGCTGCTGACCCTCTGTTCCACTGGAAGTTTCACCATGGTGGCGACCAGCAAGAGTCACTTACAATTCAGGTGGATCTTTTTTTGCTGCTCCTGGACAAAATCTGTACATCATAAACATCAGTGACAGCCACACTCTTTGAAAAGAAGAATACGTTTAATCATATTTAAGTCTGAAACAATTTGAAAGACGACTAAACATTTTAAATCACATTTAAGAGCAATGGATCTCTGTGTCGTTAGGCCCTCCCATCGGCTCTACCTGTCCATCAGGTTCTCTAGCCATACATCAGGACGTTTCCCTATTTACGCTTAGAACAATAGATCTGCATTTGAGCGCTGACTCGCTTCAGGCAAAATGCTCTTTGTGATCAAGCCAGCAGTGTGTTTGCTGTATTCTTTTAAACCTTTAGTAGTCTGTTCAGTCAAGACTGAGAGAAGCTGATGCAAAAAAATAGATGAGGAAGAACCCTGTACACCATCTTACTTCTTTTGAATAATTAGTCCTTTACGGGATAAGACAGGTGAGTGAACCTCTTAAAATCTGTCATCTCAAAACCAAAAGAAAAAATTATAGATTTTTCACCAAGACAATTTTAGGACCATTCATTTTGTTGTTGGTCTTTCATTGTGACATTTTTTGATGGTATAAAAATAAATTTCTCTCTATTTTTGATGTTTTTATATAATATGATTTATATGTATATTATTATGATGATTTCTTTTCACCTTAACAAACTGTACTATATATATATATATATATATATTTGTTAAGGTAACTTAAAATCACTTTTATGCTAATTTAATTTCTTGTTTTTTCTTTTGATTTCAGTGTGACATTGATTTCCAGACATCTACATGAGATCCACTCGCATCAACAAGGACTCATTACAGTTTAAATGAGATTATTTTGACAACACTGGTGAAATTATATTGCACATAGAAAGTGAGCTTAAAGAGGCTGTTTTTGTAACTATAATGGTGAAAATTCAGAAAACAAAAAATAAAAAGCAAAATAATAATGCACGTCTGGCTGCTAAATAATGAAACATTTATTTATGAATGGCCAGATTAGCTACCCAGTAACCTACATGTGCTCCCTGGGCCAAGGAACATCTCTGTCATATGTGATTCCTATCATTTATCCCATCTCAGAGGAAAGTGCTTAATAGGGCTTAATTAAGATTTTTAATATTGCGTTATACCTAAAGTCTGCTGTCAAATGGGGCATAAAAAAAAAATCTACACCTCAACCTAAAAGCATTGGTATGATCAAAATTCACCCAAAAGTTATATATATATATATATATATATATATGACAAAATAATAATAATAATAATTTAAGTTTTTTTTAGGTTGAATATGACCTGGCCTGGATAATCAGAGGTCAAACGTCAGTAGCAGAAAAATATGAGGTTAGACATTGGACCTTCTGTAGTTAATTTATGATGTTAATTTGTAACATAAGTAAATTTTTTATACTGCAGAGTTCTGCTCATTTTCCTTCATTCCTCTGAGGAGGGAGCCAGTATCTCTTGTACTGAGCAAGTTGGTCAATCCATGAGGAACTGACATCAAGGTTTCTCTGGGGACCAAAGCTCTAAAAGGCCATTCAAACAGTTTCTAATGTGCCACAAGCATTCACAGTCTCGTCTTAAGATTATTCTATTGCACAACTATCAGGAACACTACCGTTCAAAGTTTTGGGGTTGGTTTTATAAATGTATTAATGATTTCTAAAAAGAAATCTCTTATGCTCACCAAGGTTGCATTTATTTGATCAAAAATACAGTAAAAACAGTAATATTGTGAACTATTATTACAATTGAATAGAACTGTTTTCAAGTTTAAAATATATTAAGATGTAATTTATTCTTGTGACGGCAAAGCTGAATTTTCAGCATCACTGCTCCAGTCTTTCAGTGTGTCATATGATCCTTTAGAAATCATTCTAATATGCTGATTTACTGCTCAAGAAACATCTTTAATAAAATCAATGTTGAAAACAGCTGCCGTTCAATATTTTTGTGGAAACAGTGACACGTTTTTCAGGATCCTTCGACGCATTTATTTAAAACAGAAATTTTTTCTAATATTCTAAAAATTTGAACTGTCACTTATAATCAATTAAAATGCATCCTTGCTGAACAGAAGAATTAATTCTTTCTAAAAAATAATCCTGCCCCCAAACTTTTGAGAAGTCCACGCATCTATAGTCTTTAGCTTTTTCAACAGATTTCAGAATAAACCTCATATAAATGTGTTAACCTCGTTACTGTGTTAAGTTTCTCAATTTCTTTATTACAGATGGAAACCGACAGTGTATCTTTACAGATCTTTAAATACGTTTATATTAACATCTGTGATTCAGTGTGCCTGTGCAGTATTTGCATCTAAATTTTTGAAAATGTGGCGGCATCGTTTAAATTTTGCAGCTCCAGCCGAACTTGCCCATTTCTCTTGCCAAATGTGTTCATTCCAGTGCAAAAAGCCAACTGGGCAAAAGTTTAATGCAGTATTTTTCCCCCCCGTGAACTTACATAATGATGATTAGTTCTGTTAAAGCAGTTCCTAATCAAAGAGCAAAGAAACACAATCTCAAAAAAGGACAAATGAAGAAAGATATAGTGTTTCCGCCTGTCGAACATATAAACAACGTATGAACAAACAGCAGAGACAGAATAGAGAGTGGGCACTTCTGTGGGGTCTCTGTTCTGCCATGGGTTGTGTTTATAAGCATTCAGGTCTCAGTTTCGAAAGCCTGCGTCCAGCAGCGGGAGATGGCAGCGTAATAGCTTTGAGTGTCACTATTCTGTCAGTGGGGCTCCGCTCGGTTCTGTTTCTCCAGCACCGCCCATTTTAGCCTGTCACCATGGCAATAGAGACACTAGCCAATACCGATTCTAGGAGGAGGATTCGGCTCCTCCCACTCATCACCATTCTAAGATCACTTAACAGACATACAGCTGAGGAGGGATGAATGCACTGTTTGGTGGTGCCGTCAATCCCTACCCCAAGAGGTATATCTTTATTAGGGTACAAAATCAGTCGTCTTGTCTTAGAGATAAGAGAATCCCATCCTTCCACAGCCAGGACCCCTCTGAGGGCCAAAGGAGGGCTGGCTCGAGGAGGGGAGACTCTCGGGGCTCAGCTCGCAGCCGCTCGGGCCATCAGATCCTCTAGTGCCTTGTCCTGGTCATTATTGTGCACAAGCAGTACCTCTTTAATAGTGTCCCTCTCAAAGCCCATTTCTCCAAACCGAGACATCAGCTGCAGAAATTCCAAAGCCTGAGGAGAGAGAACGTAGCATAAGTACAAAAATTGCTTTCAAATTTGTATGACTTTTAATTACGTGGAAAATGTAATGCAGAAAACAAAACAAAAAAGAAAGTTTTTCATTCAAATATAGCACGTCAAAACAAGTGACATCAAGTACACATGCAACTGTATATTCTAATTAGACGGTAGATTGTAATTCAGGCTGTGTGTGTATTTGTGGCTGCTAGAATTTACCCACCTTTTCCTCTGAACCCTGGTATACCTCCAAGCACTCCTCCACAGCAGTCGCATCAAAACCTCGATCGCACAGTCGACTGTGAGTAAACAGGTATTCCAGCACCTATGAATGAGACCAATGACATAAACAGTCTTGTTTACATAAACAAAAGTATCACAGACTTGCACTAAGAATACTCAGGCTAAAAAGTGACCTGTTCCACATTCTGCCCTTGTCTCTGCATGGCTTTGAGAACACCCTCATATGAATAACCCATGCCCACAATCGTCTCCACACACTGTCGTTCGCTGGGAGAGAGGCCGTGTAGGATCGTGGAAGCAGGTGGATGGTTAGGCGCTGTGACCTGGTTTGACTGCAAAGATGTAATGGAGAAAATCAGTATAAATATTTTCAACCCAGGCTCATTGGAACAACATGCCTCCATCTACATTTTTGCAAATCTCCAATAAAGTTCCTATAAATATTCATTGCAGTTTCCAACTCAAATGACCACTAGTGGCAGTAAAACACCAACAACTTTTAATCCTTTTGACAAAAATTATGATTACGGGGCAGATCATTGATTAATAAAGACTTATTTTCATGCGATTATTTGCATAATAGTATGTTATGATCTTAAAACACTTCTTCCATAGTGCA